TGGATGGATGGATGGGTGGATGCATGGTTTGTTGGTTGACTGATTGATTGACTGATATATGGATAGATACATGGATGGGTCGTTGAGTGGTTGGAAGGATGGATGGGTGGATGCATGGTTTGTTGGTTGGTTTGTTGAATTATTTAATATATAGTCCGGAATATCGAGTGTCAAAGAAAACTTTTGTCTGTTCGGTGTGAATTACGAGCTGGGTAGAGATATGTCGGCTCTTTCATAGGTATAGAAATGATTGATTGATTGATTGTTGATTAATTGATTAATTGATTGAGTGAGTGAGTGAATGAGTGAGTAATTGAATGATGGATTGATTGATAAATGGATGGGTTGTTATGTGGCTGAATGGATGAATGGAAGGATGAATAAAATGAATGGATGGATGGATGGATGGATGGATGAATGGATTGATGGATGGATGGATGAATGGATGGATGGATGGATGGATGGATGGATAAATGGATGAATGCATGTATGGATGGATGGATGGATGAATGGAGGGGGGTGGACGGATGAAAAAACAACCCCAAAACGACTTTGGTACCAGCGAAATACGACTTGTTTCTATTTCTGCACAGTTTGACCTCGTCTGTGATCGAAAGCCCCTGGCCAGCCTTGCACAGTCATTGGTCATCGTTGGTCAAGGAGTGGGCGCCATGTTGACCACGCCCATTAGTGACCGCCTGGGCCGGAAGGTGGTTCTGGTCTTTGCAAACGTCGGCTTGTTGACGTCTGGTCTGTGTATCGCTTTCGCGCCAAACTACGTGGTGTTCACCATCTTCAAGTTTATTGTAGGGGCGTTTCAACAGGTTAGTTTGGGCTTCATTGTTTTGTTTTTTGTTTGTTTGTTTCTTTCTTTCTTTTCATAGTAGTGCGTGTTTTAATAATATTATCATAAGCGTACCACTATCATTATTGTAATCGTTATAACTGTCATTGTTGTTGTCATTATCATTATCCTTGTCATTATCATTGTCATTGACAAATGTTATTATTATTATCACTAGCATTATCTTTATCTTTAGCATCATCATTTGCATTATCATCAGCATTGTCATTGTCATTGTCATTGTCCTTCTTCTTCTTCTTCTTCTTCTTCTTCTTCTTCTTCTTCTTCTTCTTCTTCTTTTTCCTCTTCTTCTTCTTCGTCCTAAGTGCCAGAATGTAAAACAGACAAGGAAGAACACGGTTCGCCTTTCTCTCTCACTCGTCTGCTCACTTTGCTCTCGTAAAACAACGTATTTATTGATCCAGGTGTGTCTAGTGTCCCACAAATTGCATTTGTCACGGCCTTATTGTTTTGATCACGAGCGGCCCATTTGGGTTTTCTGTCAGCGAGAAGCAAGAACTCATTTGATTCGCATCGTATTAAAACCATGCGCTCGTCGAAACATGGATTCGAAGAAACCGATATTTTTTAACTTTTTTCGAAAATTGGCATCCTTTTTTTTCTTCTTCCAGGTGTGTTTGTTTTGTTTTTTCCTTTTTTGCGTCAATAGTTTTATGTTTAATTAAAAATACATTGTATGTTGATCTACTGAAAACCTTTGATCAAAGGGTTACAAAAATGTATAAGATTGGGGTTTTCAAATACACACAAGCTCTTAAGATCATAGATCGTTTGTGACCGTTTTCTAGTTCGTTTGACCTCTGACCCCAGACGACCTTCACCTTATCCAAACTCAAATATCTCGAATTCTAATGAAGAACGATGCTACTTGTGTTTTTTTCATCAAATCAAGAAAAAAATTACAAGATTTTAGATGATACCAACAGGTTTGTAATATAATATATACCCCAAAACTTGACGAGAGCATTATTCCACGACGTACGTGTCATTCCTTTCCCTTTACCGGAATTCCCAACAGCTGTCTAATAAACCACATTATTTTCTGTTTCTTCCGGTTTGTCAAGTTGTCTGTTTCTTGTTTTCAAGGAGGTGTGTGTTTGTTTGTTTGTTTGTTTGTTTGTTTGTTTGTTTTCCACCGGCGCCTGTGGCATAGCTGTTAGTTAGGAGTTTCGCCATCACACAAAAGAGATAGGGGGATGAGTTCGAATCCAGAGTGGGGAGAGTTGTTATCGAGAGACTAAGTCTTTTCTGCTGGGATGTTGTATCCCTCTCAGACCGATAGCCCTGACAGACATGGCCGAAGCCTATCTTCTATATGAAAGTGACCTTAACTGTTTTGAAGGAGGTGTATAAACTCCTACATGTTTTTGTTTTCCTTAAAGTTTTCAAAAACTATTTATTGTGATCATTGCTTTGTTTTGCTTTAGTTTATTTTCAGGGGATTCTCTTGGTCGAAAAGTTACGGTGCTCGCTCTCATCCAATAGGTCCCGGGTTAGAATCCGGGTATGCAGTTGTGAGCGCTGTAAAACCTCTACTAAAACAATAAAACACAGAATCCAGGTTGCGGTGGAACATTTTCTTCTCTAACGTTGTCTCCTTTCACCCCCTTTCCTGCCCTCTAACAATGTTCTGTCGTCTGTTTAGGCCTCCACTCTTTGCCCCTACCACCTCACCTCCTTTGCCACTTCCTCTGTGCTCCAAAGTCTTTCTGCAGCCTTTCTGCTGCTACTCCTTGGCTCCTATTTACTGCTGTCTTTTAACCGCA